TTTATATCACAATATACGTTATTTGTGTGTATTTCACCAGATGGATAAGGAGATTGTAGAGTTACAGTGAAATTCATCAATCACCATAATCTATCTAAAATAGTAGTGAAAAAGTTCAAAGGTTTTTGGATAATGAATTTTTTTATATTCCCAAGGTTTTTTTACAAATTTCCATAGATTCTCATGACCAGAAAAAAATGTTTAAACGAAAAAAAATTTCGTTTGACGCATTATTTATTTATGAGTAGGTATTTAAATGAATAATTTATTTTACTATGAATTAAATAAGTCTTCTTTTCCCTAAGCTGACTTTAAATTCCCTAGGTCTGGCAACGCAGCCTAAGAACCGAATTTGTTAGTGCACCTCTCTCACTCTTACTTATTGTTTGCAGAGAGAGAGAAAAAAAGCCATAGCCTGTAGCAATCAACAGTTCTAAAATTATCATTTCGAAATATTGCGTTCAGAAAAATAATTCAATTCTATGCTCGCGAAAGGTTAATTCAGAAATTTAAAAAGGATTGTTAAAGCATTTGTCAGGAACACGGCTTTGTAGGGGTGCGAAACGTGCTCAGTGAGCACAGCAGAAAAGAAAAGGTTCGAAGCATTGGTAATGTGTCGTTACAGACGAATGATGAGAATATCGTGGATAGAAAAAAGTAGGAGAACTGTGGGCGCTATGGAAATCCAGGTGAGATAGGTTGGCTGCCTTCTACAGCTACTTAAGGTCATATTTGAGGCAGAAACAGTAGTTAAAAGGGGTAGAGGTGGACCCAAATTATATAACTGTTCACAAATAGTTAAGGATGTTAGAATGTTCTAGTCTTAGGGAAATGCGAATATTAGCTCAGCATAGGAAAGAGTGAAGACGCGTGACCAACCAGTCTTACGACTGATGACCTTATGATGATGATGATTAATCAAATAGCGTGAGAAATTTTGTTCCTACCGGGTGTTCCACGACACTTCACAACTTGTTTTCTCAAGTGTGATTGTACCCCATCACACTGCACTGCTTTCGATACCGTCTTGGTGGAATTGAAAATAGCGGTTTTATCAATCATGATGCTTTTTAGACCCATTTGTTTCGGGTTGAATTTTGAATCTTCGGTTGTTTTGGGCGACACTTGAAAATAGATATCCATCAAAAAGCAATAGTTATACTTTCTGTAGCGTTGTGCCCTTTGAATTGTCTTGGATGCGCGTTGGAAAAATCGTAGGTAGGGAGAAAAAAGTTCATTATACTCTCGACTCTTGTTCATTAAATATACATTTTCATACAGTACCTCCCAAAAGTTTTGTTCAATCATGATAGCAGTGCGAGTCGAAAACAAGCGTTAAAGCCTTTAATATGTCTTCAAATATAAATAAACATCTCGTTGATATTTTCAGTGGTAAATGGTACCAATAACAGCACATTTGAGCAATGAAATTGTAGTTGATAAAATGGTCAATTTTTCCGTGCAGTACTGTACGGATTACATGTTCCTCGCCGGTTAAAAGTTTGGCCGAGAGTTGTCTCCTTCCTTTTCTGGCCTCGTGCTGTTCTCTTCTAATTTGCGCCGGTCAAACTGAAGGTCACATCGCTACAGAAAGTAAACGAAGTACAACGTATATGCTATAACAATGGCGGCGGTTAATGTACTTCCACTAATGTACGATCATATTGTTTCGACAGCAGTTTTGTTGGTTATATTTCGAGAAGTAATTGTCCATCAACTTGCTTTAGAATTGTTAACCATATTTCGACGTTGGCATGTAATATTCGTAATGTATGTGTCGTAGCCATACGTGGCCGTTCTTTAATATAAAATGCACTTGCCTTACTATGTGCTTAGGAGCGTCATTTCACCTGAAAATTACTCCCGTCCCATTGTCGTGTACTTTTTGTGTTACGGTTCACATGAGCGTAACCTCCGCTTAAATGAAACAAACCGTGGGTTGTCGTGACATCATCGTCGTCGTTTCTCTTGGTCCGCAATCGATAAACAGTCATTGTGACTCGCTCCTGCTAGATATACGACTGACTGTAAAGGGAAAACGCATCGCCAGTTGTAAAACGAACCCTTTCCACACAAAAAGACGACCGGGATTGAATGGAATGGTGGCCGTGATGGAAGCAGGCAGTGCAACAACGCGATTCTTTTTTTTTTTTTAAAGAGACCTGGTAGAAGTATGTTTCCTTGGAGAAAAAACTTTGGTGTATTGTACGTCGACTACAAAGCGACATAGAGGATTACAGAAAAATTACAAATTTTTTAGTTATTTAAAAATCCCCCAGAAATTGTAACTAAAGCCTCTTGGGTTGTACATTCACTAGATGTGTATCCATTAGGATAAGCTTTTGATTAGCTATAACCCTACAGTAATATAAAAACGAAGTTTGTTTGGCGTTTTTAAACGTAATCAACGATATTGATAACATGTACAGTGTTGGGGTTTTTGAGGGCGAGTTAGGTTTCATTTCTGGGAAAATACGATTTCTCCATGTTGCAACATAATTTCACTTCTGATAGCACCTTCTGGAAATAGCTCAATAGAACATAAGTCTACCAAGCCGGAGTGCGCAAGTTCGAATTCTGTCAAACTGTTTTTTTGTATGGTACGGTATGTAGAAGAAAAAGTAGGAAGGAGGCGAATGTAAAGATGGGAGTCGAAAAATTAGAAGAAGCGACTGATTTTAGGTATCTAGGAAGTACAGATAAGTCAGGACGCGAGGAGTAGTAGGAATATAAAACAGAGGATAGCGTACGGTCGAATTGCCTTAAATAAAGACAAGTCACTTATATGCTCGCAAACGATAAATTTAAAAATTCGAAAAAGCTTGTTAAAGGTGTATGTTTGGAGCGCGGAGCTGTACGGGTGCGAAACATGGACGGTGGGCGCGGCCGAAATGAAAAGGTTAGAAGCGTTCGAAATGCGTTGTTAGAGGCGAATGATGAGGATAACTTGGATAGAGAAGGTTAGAAATGAAGAGGTATTAGAAAGAATAGGAGAAAGAGGACTTTATAGAAGTCAATAAAAAATAAACGAGATAGGTTGGTAGGACACCTCAGGCATGAAGGTCTAGTTAGGGACATATTAGAGTCAGAAACAGGAGTTAGGAGTGGTAGAGGTAGACTTAGATTAAATTACTGTTCGTAAATAGTTAAGGATGTAGGATGCTCTAGTTTTAGGGAAATGCGAAGATTAGCCCAGGGGATAGGATGGAGTGGAGGTGTCTGTCCAACCAGTCTTAGGACTGACGACCTTATGATGATGATCGGTTGTCGGAATATTATTATATTATATATTACTCGTCATGAAAACATGCTGGTTACCAATTACAAAGTTTATTTTGGTTCATCTCGTACCAGAATATCTAAGTTTCATTTCTGCTCTGCAGTTTGTAATATTAGGTAAGTGTATGTTCGTTGAAAATGGTTTATTGGATAGAAAAACGTTTTCCGATTGTCCCATAAATCACGGTAAAGTAGAGAAACGGCATTTGACCGGATAAAAACAGGCATGCTAACTAACTAACTGGATGTTGCGGCGCAATCAGGGGCGGCAAACGGAAGAAAAACGTACATCTTGAAGCGAGAGACTGAACTGGAAAGCGGGGACGCAGCGTGTGCGGCGTTGGCGGCTAAAAGAAATACAATTTACAAATTGGAAAAGTTCCAGGCATGCCGGTATTGTCTTCCATTGGAAACGGATAAGCAACTGTCATTCGGAACCTATAATACAATGACAAACGCGACACGTTTGTACAAACATCATACGCCCAGCTACCAGTCTTGAATAAACGATGAGTCCATAAATCGGGACTTCGCCGTTCGAAGCGTCAGCTCAGACCTGCTCCATTTATATCAAAGTCAGTGCTTAAACATTTGAATCGAACTAATTTGATTATCCAGAAGTGCAACATAGTTTCTTATTCGTACACATAAATTGTAAAATACGGTTAGGGAAGTCTCAATTAAGGCGTTTCATAAGGAAATGTTGATCGAATTGACGCTTCTGTAGAATTATTGAGAGTTTATGTTCACATAATCGACATAGTCTGTACGAACTCACTCCGAATATCAAAAATATGGTATGAGCTACCGTCGATAACTGTAAGTTAGTTTGTTTTACTTCAGTCAAGTGGGTAAACGTAGTCATAACTAACTGTGTATGTAGTATGAGATCAATCAGCGTGACCTAGAGCAGCGATTCCAAAATATTGTTCCGCGGAACCGTAGTGTTCCGTGGAAGGGTCACAGGGGTTCCGCGAGATACTGCGAAAATTGGACGGTGGGCGCGACGGAAAAGAAAAGGTTAAAAGCGTTCGAAATGTGGTGTTACAGGCGAATAATGGGGATACCATGGATAGGGAAGGTTATAGAAAGAGCAGAAGAACAGATGACTCTATGGAAGTCAATAAGTCTAGTCAGAGACATATTAGAGGCAGAAATAGGAGTTAAGAGGAGTAGAAGTAGGCCTAGATTAGATTACTGTTCGCAAATAGTTAAAGATGTGGGTTGTTCTAGTTTTGAGGAAATGCGAAGATTAGCTCAGAATAGGAAAGAGTGGAGGTGCGTGTCCAACCAGTCTCAGGACTGATTATCTAATGAAAAATATGCAAAATTCTGGGAAAAGCAACTATTCTATACTTAATCGTAACAACAGCATATTTTTCTTTATTTCACATTCAATTCGTATCAGTTTACTTTATTATCGAGATGGGGTTCCGCCAAAAAAAGTCAGAAAAGGAAAATTGGGAACCATTGGCGTAGAGGTTCAGACTGTCGCTTAACATTCGGGAGGACACCGATTCGATTCCGGGTACGTCTGCCCTTGTTCAAGTGATTTCCTTGGATCACATAGGCAAAATAATCATACACATAGAATCACAACATAAATTAGTGGAAGGATGCTATCAATGGAAAAATGGTGAGGTAGAAACTGCCTCCACACTATTGAATATCCATACTGCATGTATGCACATACATCATATGTCAAATACAATGTAACTTACCTGTCAGGAACTTGCTGACAATTAACTGACGCTTAAGCGCTGCCCATAAAATCGAGGCACCGCTTTATTGGCATCAGCCATCTTCCCATCGGATGCTTCATTCACCCCATCTATAATGGCATTTCTGCTCCATTCCTGCTAATATCCTTATATTTGCCTGAGGCGAGTGAGTTCCTTGGCGTCTCCTATAATGTAGAGAATATTAAATAAAATAGTGCAAATTTTGTAAGAGCTAAATAGCCCTAAATTGTCTATCTATACGTAAATGGATAGTGCTTTGCCAGAGGTAAATGATCTCAAGTCTCTAGGGCGTGAAAGCAATGAATAAATTTTAGGGATTTAGTGGGAGGGAGTTTGAATATGGGCAACGATTTTAGTCTAACTTTTATATAGTTTATTATTTATTTATCAGCAGTGTATGTGACGTTTTTGTAACGAATCTTTGTAGAAAACTTTGTGGTGTGTTGCTGGTAAAAATTGCTGGAACAAATCCGACCGTGCTACCGTACTTACTTACTGTTTATCGTATCAATTCAGTTCAACCCAATTTTCGTTTGAACGAACTACTCCTCTCGGCGTTTCGCGATTTGTTTGAATGCAAAGCCCATTATAGATAAGACGTGGAACTTCTCCGTATGAATAAGTGACTTTGCCGGTAGAAACGCCGATGTCGACGACGACGCTAGCGACGACGCCGTCGCGTACATTATTAGGTTTCGCGTTTTATCTGTGGAGCGCATCAATTTGGCGCGGTAGGTAATTTCACGGTTACCGACGAAAAAAGGGCCCGACCCATTGCGACGCCCGTGGATTATCTGTCTCCCGTCTTCGCATTTCACCATTCTCTTTATATCAGCACATATACTAGGTACCATCTTCCCTCCTCAAAGATACCTATACACATACTTATATGCATGTACATGTACGTAGCTAGTAGAGTATTAGATAAATATCTATGAATATATGACGAAAATGCGCACGTAGCATTTCTAATAATACCAATGGGGGCTTGAACTGTAGAACTGCTACAACTACTACCAATGAAGGAATCAAATTTCTTTTCTTTTAAATCTTCACTCAGAAAAGGGTAGACCGAACTAATCTTGTCATTTTTAGACAATAATATACATCTGTCACGTTGAAATTTATCAATAGACTTGTCAAATGCTTTTGTAAAAGTTAAAATTAATTGTAAGAAATGCGTTCTTTGTAGTAAATCAAAATGATTGAGATTAAATTTCCGGAGGAATCTGTTGCACAGAAGTTCTTTATTGGAATAACTGTTTTTGCCATATTCATCTTTCAGGCAATGCAAAGAGACTCGGAAGAAAATTAAACAAAATTGGCCCAACAGAACCAGCATTATGACTGAAAGGAACATCTCAAAATGAAATACAACCTGGACCTGGATTTTGTTCCATGAAACATAAAGTATTACATATTTGTAATGTATGTTTTCATTTGCAATAAATTTAAATAAACTACTTGCCAATTTGTGTGAGAAATTGCGAGAGAGTGATTGTATATATTTAAATATGCCTTGATAATTTTAACAACATAAATATATATATCAATAGAATTTTCTTTGTAAAATAAAGGAGGCATGCGGTCTTTCTTGGCTCCTGTTTATTTTATGTTAAACAGTTGTAAAGGAAATGCTTATTTATAGTTCCCTTTTCACATTAAGTTAGAGATCGATTCATCACCAGCCCATGCAATCCATATTACATACAATTCGTTAAGTAAAGCTTCGCGATGCCCAACAGCAGTTGCTTTCGTTTTCCTTTATCTTTGTCCGAAGAAGATTTATAAAACACAGTGGTTTACATCCAAGAAGGTTTCGTAATGGATAAACTTTTCAAAAACGCCTATACTAGGCGGTTTCCTTTAATATTACAATACCGTTTCTTATGTCTAAATGGTCCAATAAGTTTTAATCCGAAATTACTTGACTCAATCTAATTTATCTATTATTAAGTATCTCTAATTTAAATTGCTTCATAGATTTGAAGTGTTTCTTTCTTTACATTTTGTGAGAAGATGTATAATATATCTAAATAACAATCCTTGTTGTTGTTCGTTGAGGATTTTGAAGCACAGTGTTTCGATCACACAGGAATTCATCTGACGTCCTGCCGGCCATCAGTCTCTGACATGATTCGTCTGACCAATGAATTCTTTAAGCTGGGATTATGTCCATGAGCCGCGCATGTTGCCCCTAAGATTGATTAATTCCTTTCTATGGTCGCGAGGACGCAGTGAAAAGATTAGATCCACCTCAAGCACTTTCGAGTGTGCAAGATGGATAACCTCTTTGTGCAAACGCATCATGAACTAGCAACGGTATGTCTGGTTCATTGAAAGATTGTTTATTCCAAGGAGGTTTCTGATGCATTCGAGAAATGTTCTTTATATTAATGGACCCACATAAAGATTTTGTAATTGTGATAAAAGATAGTCGTGTTATGTGTCTAAAGTAGCCGAATTGTGTAGTGAAGTGTAACAAGGGGCTGGTGCATATATGTTTCTTAATATCTCATCGTATGTCATATGGAATGCGAGATTCTTTGGTGAGATTCTATAATTTAACTTGAAGAAAAATAGAAGACATTAAAGTTTATTGAGTCGCAAAATAAAGACGTCTTGTTAATGATACGCTGCAAAAATATGGCGAGATGTCTTTTCAGTGATATGGCGAATTTAAGTATTTAAAATTTGTTAAAATGAGATGTCAAGTTAATGTTTAGTATTTTATAGACAGTGTTGCTTTTGCTTCTTGATGGCAGGATATATCTACATTCAAATACAGGATAAAGATTGGAAGTACAAATGGGGTGGTTTTTTGACTTCTTGCAAACTGTGTCATTTTGTACATAATAAGTAAATAAACTTAATAATGGTGGTAAAATGCACTTTCGATTGAATGATAAGGACTATGGTATCAACTGGGTGAGATGACATGTTGAGTTCGGTATACTGATTTGTAAAACAATGCCAGTGTGTTTTATACGTGAAAAGGTGTAAAGTCAATAAAACTGTGGCGATATGTAGGTGCCTACTTTAATTTGTAGAAGAATGATGTGAAATCAAAACGGTGAGATGACTACAGTGAACTGTTTAGTGGCCAAACATTGGTTGAAAGGCTGTTTGAGTGTTGTGCGTTGGTTCTGAAGTTGAAGCTAATGAGAAATGTGTTGAAGCAGACCCAATTATGAGAAAATCGATCTATATTAAAACGTTAGTTAGCCAGCGTTCGTTCTATCCTTTGTCGCTGCAGATTAAAGTTTATACTCGGTGCTCATTACTCTTGCTTCCATTGATTACAATGCCAATGTGGCAGGGGCCGGGATACTGCAATGCAACCAAACTTTAAAATGGGCCATTTTGCGCGCGCGAGGGAAGGATTTAATGATGAATCATTTCAATGCCCCAGTTTGTTGTACGTAGTTGTCTGGCATGTAATCACGTATACACCGACACACACACACGCGGGGCTTATTCTTAGCTAAAATTTTGACTGGATGATGGGACGAGCAAGCCCGAAATGCATTTTCGGAATTATTAAGACTCCGAGTAACTTATAATGCAGTTGTAAAGCAGCGGAAACTTTCTAACGCCTCTGCGAATACATAATATTTGCGAAGGAGAGGAAATGTTTGTCTGGAATATTTTTCAGGATTAATTTAATTGTTGTTGTTTAGAAGAAATTGTCCTTCCTGCATCTTCTCTCAAGAGCTATAATAATTTTATATATTTGTAAAAATTAATAATCATCATTCGTCGCTAGTCTTGTTAGACTGGTTGGACATGCACCTCCACTCTTTCCTATCCTGAGCTAGTCTTCGCATTTCCCTAAAACTATTTCATCCCAATAACCTTAACTATGTGTGAACAGTAATCTACTCTAGCGCTTCATGCCTGAGAAGGTATGCTATTAATTTATCTCGCCTATTTCTTATTGATCTCCACAGAATCCTCTGCTCTATTATCAATTCTTTCTAGTACCTCTTCAATCCTGACCTTTTCTATCCACGGTATCCTCATCATTCGCCTGTAACACCACATTTCAAACTTCATCATCATCATCATAAGGTCGTCAGTCCTAACTAAGACTGATTAGACACGTACCTCCACTCCTTCCTATCCTGATATAATCTTCGAATTTCCCTAAAACTAGAACAACCCACATCCTTAACTATTTGCGAACAGTAATCTAACCTAAGTCTACCTCTAGCCCTACTAACTCCTGTACCTGCCTCTAATATGTCTCTGACTAGACCTTCATGTCTGAGAAGGTATCATATCAACCTATCTCGCCTATTTTTTATTTACTTTCCGCCGCGCCCACCGTCCATGTTTCGCAATTTCTAAATTAACCGCTCGCGAGCATAGAAGTGACTTATTTTTATTGAAGGCGACTGGATCCTGCACTATCTTCTGCTTTATATTTCTACTAGACACCAAAAATCAGCCACTTCTTCTAATTTTGCGTATCCTATCTTTATATTCGCTTTTTCTCTATATTATCTTCCCAGTATTTTTGTTTTACTTATGCAAAACTAATAGAGGTATTCATTAGTGAACTGGTTGTGAGATGTTTAGTTATTTTATTACCATTCTGCAGTATCTCAACTCAGATAGCGATTTAAAAAGCGGTTGTTTCCAATATCTAGCTGATCATATGTTAATAGCTATAATAAAAAACTATTTTTACTTTTATTTATAAATAAATAACAGAATAGTAGCATATGAAATAGAGCATGTATCTGGCATCTTGGCAATCATCTGTGCGTGCCCATTTTTATTGTAATTAAATTGCCACATGTGAATTTTTCTCCAAGGGTTTATCTCATATATGTACTTACCCTTATGACGATGTACCAAAGATTAATGGTGAACAATTTCCTAACCACTGTAACTAATTTTGTACTAGATACGATATCCTTTTTACTTACATTAATGGTCTTGTCTCCGAGCGACACCGATGGTAGTTTAAACCATTGTCTGATGGATGCTGTAAATTACGAAATCGTTTTCGATTTTTTTTAAACATCTGATGCTATTAAACCCACATCTGCTACCGTTCCTGCACGTACATGTGTGTATAATCGACAGGATTAATTTATTATTTCAATTCAATGAAATTTAGAGCCGCGGTTTGCAGTGTGTGCCGTTTTAATAGCCCTTTAACGTAGGTCGGCTTCAATTAAATATATCTACTGGGTTTGGTTTGAAAACGTACCTAAGTACCAAAAAAATTAAAAGCAAATTGTGCACAATTAACACAAAAAGCGCACATTGTAATTGTCGATCTTCTTCAATTTAGGGATTAACATCTACGGTAAAGGTCCAGATGACCTTAACCCACCCCAAAGAGGGTGAGGGTGGGTGGGATCGAAAGAGGGGCTCTCCCCCACCACTGTACCATAAAAAGTTCGTGGCGGTCTTACCCCCATAAAAAGTGATGGGGGTTCAATGTTAATAAATATGCCAATTTTCATACATTTCCAGGCATGTAAATATTTATATAGTCATTCTTAAACAATATTCAAAGGTAAAACTAAAAAAAAATATAGAGAAAGTTATACAAAACATTATTTAAATATCTTTATCAGTAGGGTAGGTTAGGTTAGGTTATCGGGTTTTGACCACCCTCTTTCGATCCTCCACTCCACTCCGCTTGAAAATAATTTTTTTATTAAATTTTATTTGAATTATAGTGTATGATAATTGTCAAAATAATCAACTTTCAACCCTCATAACTTTTTACCCCGAGGGGGGTGGGGGTCATCATCTAGACCTTTACCACATTTACATATACGTATATAATTTTGTGCATAATCAGGTAATTTTTTTTAAAATATGAACTCTTCCTCGGCATTTAAAATCAATTCTAATTTGAACAAATTGACAAATGACCTTCCAAAATGAATGAACGGTTCAGTACCTGCCAGAGCGAAATGCTCTTTGAACCTAACATGTATGGAGTGTTTAGTTTGTCCAATATATTTCTTACTGCGATTTTTACAATTAATTCATATTTTACCAGCTTTTCTAGAAAAGGAATACTACCCTTGGGG